CATCGCTACTAGGTTGGAGGCCATCGCTACTAGGTTGGAGGCCATCGATACTAGGTTGGAGGCCATCGATATTGCTTTGGTCAAAACTTGGACACGTCACGTCTCGATGACGTTGATGTGCTTTGTTGGATGGAGCTCTACAGGCCTAGCTCAGTCACCCATGCGACATGCCTGTGCACCCGCACCAAACTGGTAAATCCAAAACCAGACACACTGGAAACAAGAGACAAAGGAAACAAATGTGACCAGCTTTGGAGGTAAGTTGCAAGTCAAATTTCATCTTGAAAAACTAGAGCCAAAAAACTTTGACCACTTGGTAAACCAAATCACTTGTGGTTTCTATTCTTGCAAGTGCTGAATTCCTGAGGCCTGCGCTGAAAAACGTTGAGCCCAAAAATGGAAAGAGGTGCAGGTGCTTTTGGCAAATTACTGAGATGTTTCCGTCTTCCTGGCACAATGCTGAATGTGAGTTGGCGTAAATGTTGTTAAACAACGCCAGGCTGTCGCTTCAACAAATCAAGGGAACGTCCAGCAAGCTTCATAACGACATCCTCAAAGCGTTTTCATGTTTCACTCTGACCCTCAAGCTTCAAGCATGGATCTCCATCAAAAAACAGCACCTTGTCTGGGCGCTTCAGCGAGCTCCAGAAGCAACACCGAAAGTAGTAGGTTTTCCTGGACTGTAGGTGGCGTTTGTCCTCCTCGTCACCTGAAAAGATAAATGGTGACATCATGACATCAAAAACCAAATAGAACAAAACCAAAAAAAAAACATCTTCAGATGCTGGTTGCCACAAAAACTGGTTGCCACCTTTGAGCGTGTACAGGACCAAGTTGAGAGGAGGCTTACCACAGTAGAGGTTAAGATCGATCGGTGTGAAGATCGGAATGCCACTGGCCTTCAAAAGAATAAAACAACACTGGCAGTGACTGATGCACTGATACTACCAGAATCATAAATGTTTTGGACATGTGGCCTGCCACAGCATCACATCGCAGAATCTGGACACGCCCCAGAAACAAAAGGTAAAAGTGGGTCCAGGCCTGCCACGAGCGCAAACACCCCCGCATCGTGTCTTGTGGTTGAAAGTGTTTCAACTCCGATGATTCGATGTCTAACAGTCTACCATTGTTCTTTGTTTCTTTGTTTCTGATAGCGATGGCCTCCACCCTAAGAGCGATGCCTACCCGTCTTGCATCGTCGATTCCAAAAAAGAAAAAATAGAAGTTGTGAGGGGGTTGACCTGTCACATCGCGAAGAACTAGTTTAGTCCCTCTCAGCCTCTCTTAAGAACACGGGGAGGGTACATTTCCGCCCATACTCCAAGATCATCTCCGCTCATAGGTTGGAGGCCATCGCTACTAGTAACTAGTAACAAGGGCATCGCTACTAGTAGCTAGTATCTACTAGCAAGAAAGTGGCACCTGTGATTCATCTCTTGTTTCATAGATCGCAGACACGGATTGGCTTGCAGCTATCTGTGCAACACTGACCCCCCGAAAACCAACCACCCATCCGGCATTGGGCGGCCTGAGATCTAAACCATCAATCATGCGCTTGTATTCGCGGATTTGACCCACTCGTTTGTGCCCATAGGCCTCAGAAAGACCCACTGGCCAAGTGTGCCCCCTGAGAAACCAATCGTTGAAAGCAGTGAGTGAGGGCAAAGCCCAAAACAGCCCTTTGCTCCTAGTAGCGTCCTTGCTCCTAGTAGTAAGGCCAGGAGCCCCTAGTAGCGTCCTTGTTACTACTAGTAAGGCACCTGTTACTACTAGCGTGGCACTTGTTTCTAATAGCTTCTTGTTTCTAATAGCTTCTTGTTACTACTAGTAAGGCACTTGTTCCTAGTAGCGTGGCACTTGTTACTAGTAGTAAGGCACCTGTTACTACTAGCGTGGCACTTCGGGCCCCCAGGATTCTGACAGGGAGATTGGGATCTGTCAAATCGGGAGGAGTCTCACCCTCCGCAGTCTCGATGAATTGGTCAAAGGCCTAGGGCCAAGCCATGTTCAGACGTAGAAATGCATAGAAATGCCAAAATAGATCTTCGAAGACGTCATCGCCGTAATTAAAACAAAGCCAGCACCTAATTCATTACCATTGCGCTGGAAAAGGCCATGGGAAAGAAACCAACTGCTGGGGCAATTGCCCAAAGTGGCAGCAAAATGGCAGGCCTTTCCCTCTCTCCATCCTCAGTTTGCAAAACGCTTCTTTCATGATCTTGCATGATTGCTTGCAAAGCTAGTAGTGTGGAGGCCATTCCTATAAGGTTGGAGGCCATGGCTAGTAGGTTGGAGGCCATTGCAATTAGGTTTGAGGCCATCGCTAGTAGTAAGTAGTAAGCTACGTGAAGCTGGCAAGCCACTCCACTTTCATCACCAAGAGTGTGATATAAACGGTCGCCAACTACTTGGCGCATGCCAGCCACCTCAGAAGAGGATACTACAAAAAACTAGTTAAACTACTCTTCGAACATCAGAGTGCCTGTCTTTTCATTGCATCTCATTCCATGACACCTTTTCTCAGCCTCCTGCTGAGAGATCCATCACTCTTTTTGTGGCAGCATTCACAGGCACGTATTCCTGCATGAAAGGTCTCCGGATCGCCACGAACGCAAAGAGTTACAGAACTAAACTAAATGTGAAAATTGATGTTCAGTTCGACACAGTTTTGCATTACTAGGCGGAGGCCATCGCTATTAGGTTGGCGGCCATCGCTACTAGGGAGAAGAAGTATCTTTTTGTTTTCCATAATATGCTTGGAAAACTAAAAACACTTCCACACTTGAAAATCGTGAAAAGGCTCCTCCAGTTCAGCACCAAAAAAGAGGTCCGAGAGTGAAACCCGACGCTTGAAATGGAACCTGAAGCGTAGCTCCCACAATCGCCTGCGAGTCATTGAAACCAAATGCCCTTTGCTCCTAGTAGCGTCCTCTTGCTCCTAATAGTAAGGCCAGGAGCTACTAGTAGCCTCCTTGCCCCTAGTAGCGATGCCCTTTGTTCCTAGTAGCGTCCTCTCTCTCAAATCTGCAAAATCGCCATTGTCTAACACAAGCCAGGCTCCACTTTTTTCCAGCGAAGTGGTCGCCATATCGATAGGCACCAGATGCATCTAATCTACTGGCACAGGCATGTTGATAAAAATGGGCAAACACGCAACTTCTGATAGACTGCATATTCAGGTTTGTCCACAATACTAACGATGGACTCCAACCTACTAGCGATGGCCTCCAACCAAATGTACGCATTCATGTCTACAATGTTTGTTCTTACAATAAAACATTTTGTTTGGAACACTGTAATGAGCCTGTCATGAGTTGGACGATGCAGCACCAGGAACTGGCCACTGCAATTCCTAAAGGTTTGTGCAATGACATGTTGCAAGACTTTGTCTCAGAAAATTAGTATCACTGCCACGCACAACCTTTCCTAACTGGTCGAGTGGAAGATGTCTGAAATCTGATGCAGCTAGAGATCTCGTTGTCAAATGTGAAAGCTTCAGTGCTATTGCTGTGAATAAGCCGCGTTGGTGGCAGGAACCTGCAGGAACTTGAATGATATCAGGCGTCTGCAAACAGTCCCAAAGTCTGGGTTTCCTGCCCTCCTTCGAGGTGAGGTTCGGCTGGCATACCCATGTTGATGAAATCCTGAAGCTACGGCTACCAATGCCAACAAAGGTTCAACAATGAAAACATTAAATCAATATAAACTACTAGGAACAAAGGGCACCGCTACTACGAACAAGGACACTACTAATAGTTCCTGGCCTTACTGCTAGTCACTAGTCACAAGGACGCACTTCATTCTCCTCTTCTGTCAGGTTCTCTGGCATTGACTTCCGGAAATCATCTCTGAAGTCATTCCGAGGAAACGAACTGACCTCGAGTCAAGAAGGATGCATGAGCGTCCCTCTGGACTGACATGACAATGCGGTTGTGCCTTTTCCTTCTTCAATGAAAGTGCCAGGGCCTTGTGCCATCACCATTCAATGCTCATGCGCATGCTGCATGACCCTTGAACGTTTGTCAACTATAGGTCCCTAAGTCGTCTGCACCCACGAGAGCTGCCAGAAGTATGCTGCTCCCAACGGTCAATGCCTAACTCACACAAACGCAGGATTGACCACGTGCGTCGTTCACAATGCACAAACACTTTTCACAACCACTATTTCAGCATCGTGCAAGGACATAAATTTTGTTGGGACACTTCATTGTGCACTCCAGCAGCTGTTGCAGCATCGGCAACAGCTGAACTGGTTGCAAGCATCCATGCAGTGATCGCCTTCACTCACATAGTGGATTGCTAACACAACGCATCACAACAAAGTTGCCTCCAAAAGCATCAGCGCTTGTGGCAAAATCCCGGACATTGCATCAAGTGTACATCAAAATCGGGTTTGTTATGCATGCTGTAAACGAGTCTCACGGCGAAGATATGTTTCTTGAAAACGGTGTGCACCGTCAACGCGTTGCCCGAAAAAAACGTTCAATCTTCAATTGTGTGTCAAATGCAAATGGATGATGCACTGGAGATACTTGTCATGAACAAACCACAAACTCCAAACAACATGATGCATTGACAAAGGCATTACATCTGTAAATTTGTCCATGGTTTAGCTCTAGCCAAGGTGACGCATCAGGTGTGACCGTTCCAAAAAAATGTGTGCAAAATGGAAGGTCAAAAAAACAATTTCAGTATTGGGTAAGTACGTGGTTTGACAAATGGAGCCCGTGGGATTGTGTTCACCGTGTCACAAAGCAAAACATTCAGTGCATAGATGTTTTCCCCCCCACAGGGAAAAACAACGACCGACATTGGCTTCTACCTTGCTTGGCCAAAACTCCAGGTGAGGTTTTTTTTGTGTAGTTCCATGAAAAATTCTACATTTTACGCTCCAACGGACAGCATCAGCCTAGCTTGGGTCTCGGCCCTGGTACAACGACGAAAGCTTATCCCAGGGTGGTGTGGGTGGGAAGGACAAGCCTGAAGTCTCAAAAACATGAAGTAGTGAAACAGGTCAAATTAAAGAGATACTTTTACAATGCTCACATTATAAAATTCAAAACACAATAATTCACAGAGCTGCGGTAATTATATTTCATCCTGTTTTCACTCCCCAAATGATTGAGATCTTTGTGTCTTCTGCATGTTTGGTGTCTTGCACAACTCTTCAGAACTCGACGCTTCTTTTCCGAATGGGGGATGAACGATTGGCTCTGGCCCTGGGTCTGGCCTAAAAGTCGGTCACTCTTGCAAAAGTGATAACTGGCGAACGCCAAGGTGAGGGTGGGTGGGCTTGTTTCAAGCACTAAACGCCACACTAAAGTGGCGCCCACCACTTCCCTCCCCTGAACTCATAAAATGCAACAGACATCATTGATGAAAACTCCAATGCAAAACATGCAAATGACAACAAAATCGTTTTCAACGAGTTCTGTCGTCTTCTGCATGTTTGGTGTCTTGCACAACTCTTCAGGACTCGACGCTTCTTTTCCGAATGGGGGATGAACGATTGGTTATCCCCCTATTTTGTTCGTCCAACCCAACATGTTCAATCACGAAATCACTCAAGCTCCGAAATTTGTCGAGCGCAGTTTCTGAGCAATCCGTGTCATCTTTCAAGAGCTCATGCCTGCATAGGCGTGACGGCCAATCACTGAGGTTGGCCTCTGTAGGAACTCGGGCAAACCAAGTCTGAGTATTAAGCTCTACTTCACGTTGAAGATAAAACTCCATCAAGGCCTCTCCCCAACAACCTGAGCCAGATCCACGGATAAGAGAAAAGCGAACAGTGTCATTATCTCCAAACCATGTGATGAGGCAGTTTGAGAGTCTATCATCCCAAACCCAGAAAGCCAGCACTGCTGCAAGTAATTCCAGCTCATAGATGATCGATGCCAAAATTTTTTACATTGTTCTTGATCCAAGCTCATGCCAAACCATGCGTCACACTTGCCTTCACAATCCAAGATAACGGCTCCCAAGCCACCATTCTTGCTGGATTGTACATATGCAGCATCAGTGTAGATGTACCACTGAATCACCTCTTTGTCAGAGATTTCAACCGGCCGCCCAAGCTCTAGTCGCAGCTTCATGGCCTCAAGCGCTTGCTTGGTGCAAGGGTCAAGAGTCTTCTGGCGTGAGTAAGCATGCTCCATTAGTTTCTTCAACAAGAGTCCACCCAGCCGGCCATGCAAAAAGCTGTCAGCAAACCCCAGGCGTCCACGAAGAACTAACGAGTCATGTTTAGACAATTCGTGCTCTGTATTGTAGACGCTAGCGATGCGCGACTCTGACTTGCTTAGGTCAAATGCGACCCCCAAGGGATGAGCACAAGTCACCGAAGGTTGTAGACTTTTTTCCCCTCCTTCGCGAAGTCCCAGCCAGTCAACATGAATAACACCTCCATAGCCAAGTTTGCCGATGACTGAGGGAGGGAGTTTGACCATCTGCAACTGTTGGCAACCTTGCCAGGCTGCAAAGCCTACGTGCTTTGCGCCTGCAGCAACTTCCACATGTCGGAGCATCGGTGCTGCATGGAAAGCTCTGTCGGCAATTTCTTTGCGCGGATTGAAAGGGACGTGTACAGCTTTAGGGCAGCTCTCTCTGCCACTCTCTTGGAAGTGCCAGATAGAGTGGCCCTCTTCCAGGCAGGGCCGAACTATAATTTGCAGCTTCTTCTGCTGTCGAGCGCTATGGATCAACTTCGCAGCCAAAGACATCAATGTCGGAAACGGTTGGCAGAAAGCTGAGGATGTCATCTTCCAATTGTGTGAGGTCCTCATAATGGGTCAGATTGGCTTGCATAGGACACTCATTGCCTGCCATTGTCACCAGGTGGATGTTAATGGCGTATTGATCATGGTCAAGCGGCATCATCGCTGTGGGTTCCGAGCATGCCTACTCAGCCTGTTTGAGCCAGAGTGTTGCATTGACAACAGGAAAGAAATCCCTAACAGCGGAGGAAAACAATGGCTAAGGCCACCACTTTCATGGGGGAGATTAGGACAGTTGGGAAATCCAGCTGCCAGTGGTGGCTGTCGCGGAGTCTTGCTTTATTGCCACCACCCTCGTGGAGGAGGCGGCGGGGGGGCCGATTGCGGAAGGGACGAGCGGCAGAAAAAGAGCTGCTCACGCCTGGGGGGAGGGGCGATACGCCGGGCTTTGGTTCGATTGCCGAGATCGTCTCTTTTGCCCCCTGTTTTTCTTTTAGTTCTTATGGCGCTCAATTTTACTCCGGAATGTTGGATCCGTTGTAAGCCAGGCGCAGAGCCGATCCCACTGGTCGTCCGTACAAGTGATATTGCCATATTGATGGTACGGTCGATCTTCTTCTCGACAGGAAGGATGACCACAATGGTAATAATGGGAGAGTGTTCGACTAGAAAGTCGAGTAAGTGCCTGTCGAGGATTTTTTTCCACGAGTACGGACGCCGTGTGGGCATGGTGCCCAGGTCATCATTGAAGGAAGGGAAATACAATCAGATGGTGGAGAAAAGGACAAAGACAACCCAGCAACAAACCAAACAAAACCAACCACAGCCCACAGGCCGAGACTCCACCACCAAGTCGTACTTCCTCTGTACTAGGGTGAAACAAGTGAGACGATGACTGCTGACTATCTATGGGCCTGAATTCACGAAAGAAGAGCATGGCAGCGAGGGTTTGTGCTCTAGCAAAATCTCAACGAAGTCGTCAAATGGACTTCACATCACTATTACCAGTGACCAGCGGCCACTGCACAGAGTGGCAAAAACCTGGTCACAATGCAAGTCCCGGGCATTGGTATGCTTTAACGCAGGTCTGATCCTTGCCTAAGTGGATCAGTGGTTGCTATGCAGATCATGCCGTGGAAAATTCCTTTCTTGTAGCACAACCCTTGCAACTGGTTGCACATACAAGTCAAGAGGCATAGTAGTTGGTAGTGTTCAGGCAGTGGCGGCCATAGCAAACGACGAAAGCCTGCAGGTAAGGGTGCGAAAGGCTCACCCCCCCGAAGGGAGGTCATCTCTGCACCCTTCGGCACACAAAGGTGCCAGAACGGGGTGCGCCCTAACCTTGAGAAATGCTGCGTCATTGCAAAAGCATTGTCCTGTTGCGTGCAAGGCCCGTGTGAAACAGGTGAGACCGTGGACCTATCCTAGCATGGTATATGCGCCTCTTTGTACAAAATTGGCAATGTCGGACATCAACAGAAGGAACTAAGCCCCCTGGGCATCCTCCATTGCCACTCTCTACCACCCGCCTGTTGGGAACGAGGAGCCAAGGCTCTCATTCCCATTGGCTCACTGCATCGTGAATGTCGAAAACAAGTTGGCGACTCTGCTCAATGTTTGCACATTTCACTTGACGTAGCTTCCTGGCGGAGTGCTTATGCACCATTCCCGCCGCGAAAGCATTGCTGGCCTTTGGTGCAGGTTCTAGAAAGTCTTCTCTCCATAAATCATTGGCATCGGCCGGCAAAAATCGGAGCCATTTGGGCTGATCGAGTTGCTCACATTTGTCAAAGGCATTGGGTCGGGCATATGTCCCTCGCCATGTTTTACTTTTTCCTTGCTTGCGTATTGCTCGAAGTTGCGCGCAACCTGCAAAAGCGCGTCGCGCAATGTAAAGCAGGGATGGTGGAGTGGAAACCTCCTGTAGAGAGAAAGGCTTCTTGCTCAATGATCCTCAAGTTGCGGGAAAGGCAGAGTTGTTGCAACTGCGAACAGTGTGCGAAAGCGGAGCCCAAAATCTCAAGCACGTCTGCTTGGGACAGATCAACAGTTTGCAGCTGTTGGCAGCTCGCACAGGCGGCGGAGCCTATCCTGTTAAAGTCTGTCGGCAAGGCAAGTGCGGCAAAGCCAGCCTCCAGAAAACAGCAATCCGGCAAGCATCGGTTTGGGTGCGCTGCATCCGGCTCTGGCATGCCTAAATTGATGTGACTCAGAGCTGTGCGTGCTTGAAAAGCTCGAGGCCTCAGTTGGGCTTGGGGGGCTAGCCGATTGCTAGGGCATTGAGCCGTGCCCACCCTCGTTAAGGAGCGACACTCTTCGAATACTGTAGCGCCGAAATGCTTGCAACCGGAGGCAACCACTGCTCGTAGAATTTGGCACCAGCTAAAGGCGCCATGCAATAGGCTGACGACTGTGTCTGGCAAGTGGAAGATTTGCAACTGTCGACAGCTCCTCCACGCAGCCTCTCCGACAATCTTGACACCGCTCTTAACGAGTGCGTGACGGATTTCTGCGCAAAAGGAAAAGGCTTGTGGGGAAATTTTGTCATTTCTACCACGCGGCACCCGGATTGCCTTGACTTCCCCTTTTAGCTGCCCCTTGTGTACTGCCTCTACCACGCATTGCCGAGCGATCACATATACCTGTGGTTGGTACTTAGTGCGTACTGAGTTGGGTCTACAAGGATCTGTAGGG